AGTAAAAACATTTTTAAATACCAAAATAAAAAAATTTACAATTAAAGTCATATGATAAGTGATCTACGTGAACTCTACCCTTAAAGCTTTTTTTATTTTTACTTTTTCTAATTCTACTTTTCTGAAAAATGCTATATACGTATAGCATATATAGAGGCATGTGAGTCTTTTTTTTTTCTTTTAGCCCTTTCCAGGTTGTTGTAATAATCACTTTTTGGATTTGTTTTTAGAGATTTGTTTGTCTCTTGCATAATACCAAGTGTGATTATGTTTCTTTAACTTTATCTTGACATATTTGATATTCTGTTGTTATGTATATATCTGGTTTTCTTCTGTTAAGTTTTTTTAAGATTGGAAGTTTATCTATCATATACATAATAAATGCATATCTTTTTGTATTACTTTTTTTTGTTGTGCAATATACTTCTTTAGTCATTTTTAGCTTTTTCTAAAATTGTATTTATAAAGTATATAATAAACAAACTTTTAACCTTAAAAGAACTTAACAAATGAAGGCCAAATATATACACAATAACAGAATGTCAAGTATGTCAAGATAAAGTAAAAAAAATATAAAAAAGACAAAAAAACTTATAAAAAAGAATCCAAAAGTGATTATTACAATAGTCTAAAAGAGGGAGATGTAGTAACATAGTGAAGTAGTCAGGTTGTCAACCTTCCAAGTAATAGGTTGAGTGTTTAAATCCCATCGATAATGAAAATTTGAATAATCACTTATGTAATATTTATATTATAGCAACTATTACTAATAATAGCATAATTAAAAATCCATTTGATTGGCTAATTAGTACATCAATTTTTTGTATTACTCAAATAATAAAACGGTCATCTTTGCTTATATATGAATTGTGTTACATTACATACAAACCATTAATGAAACTTTACAAGCACATTCATATTTCGTCCTTTTACCTACAGAATAATTTAATCAAGTATAATCATATTCATTGATGACTTTTATTATGACAATATTTTGTTAAAAATACTAATTTTATATGTTTAATAAAATTCTACTCCTATCATTCTAAGTCAAAAAACTATTATACACTTTGATCTTTCACCTGTTTGCTTGCTGGAGAGCTTAATTAGAGTTTGTTTATTGATACTAACAATATTTGACACACATTTTTTAGTTATAAATTATCGAATTATATAAAAGATTTCTGTAAAAAGGTAACTCGATTAAAAAAATTTAGTCATATACGTAGTATAAAATTTTTATTTACCAATTATCTATTTCAATAATTTTATTTTGCAATTCCAAGTCTAATTTTTCTTTTTTACTCATATCTAGTCGATTACCTTCCTTCTCTAAATCATTCTTATCTGCGGTATTATCTTGATCATTCTTATCTTGATTATTTAAATCCTTAATATCAATATTTTTTTCTGAATTTAAGCATTCTAAAAATGCATCGACATTGTGCCATATGCCATCTTTGTAATAATTTAAGCAGTAATGACATCTTTCCTCTATTTTTTTGTAGCATTCTATATGATATCCATGCTCACAGATCAGGACAATTTTATCATTATTAGCAGTCAATAGTTGATGATAGCAATCACAACTATTATATGAAGAAGGAAATGGAGTACTATATCTAGCTGGCATACTTACTACATTTGTCTTGCCTAGAGTAGGCAAATCATAAATAGTATGTATTTTTTTTTTAGACCGAGGTTTGTTTAAAGATAAAACATCATTGCTAATTAAATTTGTTTTTTCATTATTTTTATAAATTTCTTGAAATCGGGAAAGAAGAAAGAGACAAGCCTTATCAGTTAAAAATCTTAGATTTTGTGCTGAATATGGGTAGCGATATGTTGTTGAGAACGATTTACGAAAGACCAAATATTTATGATAATCTAAAATGTAAGCTTGCTTTAAAATATTATCAGCACTGTCATTTGGTAATGTCATAGCTCGTATCCTGCTATGCATATTTTCTACCCAATAATCATTAAATTGAACTAAATATTTTTCTATTGCCTTTTTCATTGGGTGCTTATGCTTTTCCCAATAAAATATATCTAATAAAAATGTGAGTGGTGCTTTATTGTAATTTTTGCGCTCCCAATGTAAGGCGAAGGTCCAAATACGAAAGATAGTTTCTATATAATCGTCAAACGATCCAGATCGAAAGAGTAAAGCATATACATTAAGAGCCGCTGGTACAAAGTTGTCTAAAAGTTTGCTAATAGTTTGATATTCAATATTTTTTTCTAAATGAGTGAACTTTGTAATTATATATTTTTTTATTTTAATCTATGCAGAAAATGCTAAGTCTAATAAGAGGTTTATTCTCCATGGCCTAGGTTTTTTTGCAAGAATTTTCCAGTCTCCAAATATGAAATGAAAAAGATTTTCAAAAAATGGGTAATAAGCTTTTATAATATGTTCTCTTGTATTAAGAGAAATATGTAGTGGACCAAGAAAAGGTACAAAGGATATTACTTCAGGCTGTATTAATGAATTTTTATTCCTGTTGATTAGATATGTAAGTGCTTTATGAAAAAAAGCTGACCTGGCCAATCCGCAACAATTGGTGCCACCTTACCGTTAAGATGATTTATTTTTTTATTATAATCTAAAATTAGATTTAATCCTTTTAAATAATCTGGTAAAGAGTGAAGTTGTTGCTCTCGCATTCCTACTAAGATTGCATCTTTCATTTTACATTCTTCTTTTCATTCCATAATGGCATTGTCATACAAGTATATGGTAAGTTGATCAACTTTATCAAATTCGATCAAATTAGAGCTATTCCATTGAGCTTTTCATTGCAAATATGATAAGTCGAAGTATTTTTGATATTTATGAATTAGTTTTTTACAAATAAGCGAAGTCTCAATATTGTTTGGATTGTGAACAGATATTCCATTAAATATAATTGGCACTGAAAGAGATAATTCGACCTTTTTACATACACACGTCACAAAATGAAAGGCATCTGAAAGGGAAGTATTATTAGGTTGTCGCTTTTTATGTATATTATGATAGTCATCTAAGTTATAAATACACAGATTTTTTCCATTATTATTAAAATAATTTTCTATTCTTAGCGGATGCTTACTAGCAATCTTCTTTTTATAATTATATACAGTTTGGTAAGTAACGAAAATTCCAGCATTGCTTAGTGCATTAATTGCATTACACGATGTTCTTGATCCTGCAAGATACAAAGCTAGTTCTAGCTTGAAGCTATTAATGTACTTATTTTGCAATTCAGCCATTAAATACAAAATAACAACAATTTGCTTTTTATCTTCATTTTGATTATAAGAAGATCGATCATTTGGTATTAATATATTACACATTTTGGCAAAAAAACCTTTTAGATCTGGATTTGCGCTTTCAAGAATTTTATTAAATTCCTTCGGGTCAAGCACAAGGTCTTTCTGTCTTCTTTTATACAAAGTAATCATCATTTTTTTAATTTAATCTCCAAATGATAATTTATTTGGTAAGTTTGAAGCAAGGCTATCTTTATGAGATGGCTTATTTTCAACAATAATCATATAGTGTGAATGACAGACTTGTTGACCGAACTGTAAGTAGGAATACTGTTGAATTGTACCATTAGTGACTGCCTTTTTAATAGCCAATTGAGTTAAACACCGAAAAGAATTTGAATTTTTATTACAATTTTTAACGGAATAAAGACTATTATTGATTTTTTGTTTTGGCATTTTATTAAATGAATTTTAATAAATTTTATTGATGAGTTTTACATTTAATTTAATTTTAAATTACATAATTTATAATTTATGTCATACAAACATCTGTAATATGTACAAAAAGTACTCTAAATATATTTTACTATATATAATATTAAACTGTATTATCGTGAATATTTATCTAGTAGTAAATTGGCTCATCAGATGTATTATTGCGAATATTTATATTACACGAGAATAATGAATTCAGTTTAAATTAAGTTATTTATTAGTCACCAAAGGTGTAAATTGGCTCATCAGCTCTATTAATTTATCAATTTTTTATTATACAAATGTATAAACTGGTCGAGCCACCTTGCATTTCTACTAGCCAATCAAAAAATTAATAACTATTAGCCAATCAAATAATTTAAAAAAATGGATGATCATTGGCCAATCAAATGAATTTTTAACTATGCTACTAATGATTGAGTTAGAATACCTGTAATAGAGATTGCACCAGCATAACTGGCAAGTTATGGGACATCTGTATAAGTATGGTATTATACAGAAAAATGCAAACTGACAAACCAGATAGTACAAACACTAGATAAGTCTTTGTGGCCATGTAAATCTGTTAAAATTAGATAACAAAAGTTTATTTGAGAAGACCTAAGTAGAGAGGTAGCTAGATCTTTGATGCCTCTACTGTAAAGGCTAGCCTGAAGAAACAGATACCAAGATTGTAGTACTTGTTTATAGTAGCCAGATGGGCAAGAACCTCCAGATTGGGAGTCTCAGGATACTACCAACCAGGCCTTATAATAAACCAGAAGAAAAGAATATCTGGTTGATCTAATATATCGATAGACTAGTTGTAGTTCTACATGGACTATCTGAATTGGGAGTTTGATAAAAAGGCAAGTAAAAAGGCAAATGTATACTAAAGTATTGGGGTTATGCTGTGAAGTAGATGCTGAGGTCTAAGTAAACTCTACAAAAGCATAACAGTTTAATGGTTAGCTCTGACTGCAAATGTTAGTTTTGCCATAGTGATATTTAGGTCAGCTGTAAAAATAAATACAAAAGGCTCTAGAGGGTTTACCTTAAGAATAAATTATTCTAAGATTAAGATGATGATCTGAATATCTGAGTATGACTCAGTAATGTTAACACAGATTACAGGTTTAGAGAGTTTAAAGTAAAACACTCAAGCAGAGGTGTTAGATATGGCAATTAGTAGGAAACCTTTAAACAGACTCCTTAAATAGGTAATATAAAAAAGTTATATATGTAGCCAATTGTATGCTCTTCTGTAATGGTTCATTAAACCACAATACTGATAAGTGATTAATAAAAGTCAAAAGACCAAAGAGGTCATCTTAATACTAAAAAAAAAAAACAATAGTCTAAAAGAGGCTAAAAGAAGAAAAAAAGATCTAAGTCTCTTTATATATATTATATATAACACATTTTAAAAAAACAAAGCAAAAAAAGTAAAAATAAAAAAAGTATTAATTAAAGATCTAATTTTTAAAAAAATACAAAACAGATTAAAGCAGCTTCTAAGCATAAAATTAAAATAGCAATTTACAAGCATAATAGCAAGAACAATCTAAGATATATTTTATAAACAAGTATAAAAAATATAATATAAAAAGATTAGTGAATAAAAGAGAAAAGTAAAAATAATAAGTAGGTTAAAAAGATAAAAAAAAAAAGCCAAAATCAAGTAAGAAAAAAAAGGCAAATTAATAAGAAGTAAAAGAAAAAAAACAAAAAACAAAAAAAAAAAGAACCAAATTAGAATAAAAACACAAAAGTCAATTTTGGAGCTTGTTATAAAAGAAAGAAGACTTTTTTATTATAGACTTTAAGTAGTTAGACAAGCAGCTTACTTTTGCTTGAAGTAATGCAACAGGTTGCATTTAGATACTATTAAGAAGCTAAATAATACTAGACTTAGTTGTTAAGAACATTTAAATAATTGCAAATATAATTTTTAAAATCTTAATAAAATATTAATATAGAATGTGACAATCTAGTAAAACAGTCAAGTTGTTAATTCTCCAAGTGGTAGATTGGGTGTTCAAATCTTATCAACAGTGAAAATTTGGATAATTACCTATGGAATATTCATATTATAGCAACTGTTACTAATGATTAGATTAGAATATTTGTAATAGTAGTTATATTAGCATAACTGGCAGGTTATAAGACATCTGTGCAATGTTGGAGTTATACAAAGAAATGCAAACTAACAAATCAGGCAGTGCAAATACTAAATAAGTTCTTGTAGCTATATAAATCTGTTAAAATTAAGTAACAAAAAGTCCATTTGAAAAAACCTAAGTAGAGAGATAATTAGATCTTTGATGGCCTTACTGTAAAAACTAGCTCAGTAAAATGAATATCAAAGTTATAGTATTCAGTTATAATAGCTAAACAGGCAAGAACTTCTAAATTGGAAGTCTCTAAAATACTACTAATTAGACCACTAGAACAAACCAGAAGAAAAAAATATTGAGCCAATCTAATATATCAATAGACTGATTATAGTTTTATATAGGCTATCTGGATTGGAAGTTTGGTAAAAAGACTGAACAAAGGCAGAAGTATACTAAAGTACTAGATCTATACTATAAAGTAGATACTAAAGTCTGTGTAAACTTTACAAGAGCATAGCAATTTAATAACTAAACTCTGATTACAAATATTAGTTTTGCTATAATAATATTTAGGTTAGTTGTAAAAATGAGTACAGAAAGTTTTAAAAGGTTTATCTCAAGAATAATTTAGTTCTAAAGTTGAAACAATGATTTGAGCATCTGAGTATAATTTAGTAAGTTAATACAGATTACAGATTTAGAGAGTTTAAAGTAAAACATCCAAGCAGAGATATTAAATATAACAATTAATAGAAAACCTTCAGGTGAACTCCTTAAATAGGTAATATAAAAAAAGTTACACATGTAGCTAATTGTACTCTTTTTTATAATATTTTATAGAATTATATTATTAATAAGTCATTAATAAAAGTTAAAAAACCAAAGAGGTTATCTTAATACTAAAAAAAAAAAGTATTAATATGACTGTTTAAGAAAAAAAAAGTAAAAAAAAAATAACTAGCTAAATAAAAAGGAATATTAGTTCTAAAAAAATAGCCTTTAGCAATAGTAGCTAAACTAATAACAATATAAATAGTAATTTTAATAATATTAGAAAAAAATATAAAAATTTGGATTTTTCTATATATCTCTAGCTAGAGATATATAACTTATATATCTCTAGCCTATTGACCAATCAAAAAACTCGAATGTCATGTGACAAAGCTTCGATCAATAACTCGACATTGAACAATATCTCTGACCTAAAAAACCGAATCGCTTCTGAGTACCTGATAGGTACATACATCATACATGCATATGTATGTATATACGTACATATGATTATCATTGTGTGCTACATACCAAAACAAAGAATTTTAGAATTTTCTCTGCACTAACGCCCTCAAATATACAATAACAAAACCGTCAAAAAAAAAAATGATTTAAAGCTGTTACCCTTTGTAAAGAAATCAGAGAAAGTAGTTGCTTTTCTTTAAACTGAACCTAGATATGAACACTCAGTAAAATAAACTAAACATTAAATTTTGTTATGTATAACATACGTACGGGTTAAACCCAAAAAAAAAAAAAAAAATTTTAATCTCTTGAACTTTTGAACCTATTTACCTAACAAGAACTATAAGTTCGTTAGTAATTGTATAAAATTAAACCAACATTCATTGGTAATTAAACAAACGAAGAAGCCAAACCTTTCATGACTTAAAAAGCAACGAAATTCCAAACCAAAGTTCTTTGAACTTAAAGAAAAATCGTAGTAATAATAGCCAACATACAAATAGAAGTAGTGTCTCAAGCATGACTTATTCTTGGTAAGTTTTAATCATTTAATATTATACAAGGAGTATTAGCATTGGACATACATCCAATGCCCTTGTCCAGGCTGTCAACTTAACTCACAACGAATAACCACATCATGCATCATTAATACCTCATCTATTACATCTGCTCAATTTTTTGGTAGAATTATTTCAAACACAGTTAAAATAAACGCAAATTATCTAGACCTTCTCAGTTCTGCTGCAATTAAATGGCCTTTGCCAAATTCTTCACCACTACCATTGCCTTCCATTCCTATCTTCAACTCCATCTCATCTGTAATTTTTGAAGCAAGCGAAGCAACTAACAAACTTAACCAAATATCCTCTGATAACCTATTACACAACTCATTTAACTTTTATACTGATGGTTCAGTAATTGGTATGAATACAAATAACTGTACTATGGGTATCGGCTGGGCCCAAGTAGATTCTAATGACCAAGTTATTCACAAATTTACTGCCAAAGTTCACCTTTGGCCATCATCTTACAAAGCTGAACTTTTCTCCATTCTGTCTGCCATCTCAACTACTTCCCGAAACTCCACAATTAACATCTACACAGATTCCCAATCAATAATATCCAAATTTATTCAACTTAATCAATCATCCCCAAACCCTAATAAACTCTTTAAATTTAATTCTTGGCCATTATGGCATACCCTACTAAACATTATTAAATCATACAAACTAAATATCATCTTTCATAAAGTTCAAGCCCATTCAGACAACACTCTTAACAACCTAGCAGACTCACTTGCTAAGCAACATATAAATGAATCTCCACTATACTTTAACTACACAAATATTCACAATTTATATCATCTAT